TATGGAAACTTTTTAAAGAAATAACTAGCGGTAAGCGGTGTAATTCTGTACAATCTCTTAATGTTAATAATCTTAATAAGTCTTTCATACGCTCCTCTGACGATATCCTTCCTAATGATACAAATCACATAGACAATAATTTTAATGGTTTTAATACCCTTGATGTGCTTAAATGTCTCCGTTCTCTTAAGCCTTCCCAAAGCCTTGGTCCTGATGGCGTACCTGCCATTGTCCTCAGGAACTGTGCTGATATTTCGTGTTACCCTCTTACTAATATTTTTAATGCTTCCTTTTCCAGTAATGTTCTACCTTCTGCATGGAAAAACATTAAAATTGTCCCTATACCAAAACAATCTTCTGGTACCGATAGTAAATTTAGGCCTATTGCAATTACTTCTCCTTTTTTTAAATTGATGGAAAAACTACTTTTACTTCGTCTTGAACCTTCATTGAAAGCTTTTAATGACCCTAAGCAATTTGCATATAAACATGGTAGAAGTACCTTGGATGCTGCGGTTGTCTTATATCATAATGTTGTTTCTTGTTTAGACAAAGGTGCCAAATATGTCCGTGGTGCTTTCCTAGACTACACATCTGCGTTTGACTCTGTACCTAGGGGCCTTTTATTAAATAAGCTCTCCTTGACGCACACAGCATCCTGGGCTAAGAGTTGGTTGCATTCTTATTTTTCTGATAGAATGCAGTATACTGCATATAATGGCAAATCTTCTTCTGCTTTGCTTACAAAAGCCGGTGTTCCTCAAGGTGCCGTCCTCTCTCCCTTTCTTTTTTCTTTCTTCTTACATGACCTGCCACATTTAAACGAAACCAATTTTGTCAAATATGCTGATGATCTGACTGTATCACTGCCTATCACTTCTGAGTCTGACTGCTCCAAACTTAATAGCTTTTTGTTGGACATCAGCATGTGGTCTAAGTCAAATGGTCTTATGTTAAATCCTTCCAAATGTCAGGCAGTTAACTTTACCTTCAACCATCGACGTGACATACATGAACTAGTTAGTTCCCATGATGCCTGTAGCATAGATGGTACAGAAATTGGAACCAAATCAAGCGTTAAATACCTTGGATTAGTTCTTTCCTCGGACCTTTCATGGTCATCTCACATTTTATTGGTCTCTAAGAAAATGTTTCGTCTTACCTTCTACATTAAAAAGTTAAGACAACAAGGTATCAGCCAACCTTTAGTTCTGCGATTTTTAAACTCCTGTATTTTACCCATTTTACTTTATTGTTCTCCATTAATCTTTCCTGGGCTTCTTAAAAAAGACTATGCCGTATTACGAAGGGTATTAAATGCTGTGAGTAGGGCTTGTGGTTTGCCACTGCGTGATCTCGCCAATACCATAGTCGAGAGACACGTAAATTCCTGTAAAAATTGGGCAAAGGCCGTACTGTCAGACCCTCTGCACCCTCTTTATTCACAATTATCCCCTTGTATCTCATCAGGTAGAACGAGAAGTCAATATAAGAAATTATATGCTCGTACCACTAAGTACAAAAATTCTACAATACCGTATTTAGCCTGTATTTTATGTGATGAAGACACTGTTAGACGTGAAACATATAAGTTACTATGTAATTAGCATAGTGAATCGACCCTTTCATTGTTCATCTTTCTGTAATTCTATGGTGTCACCCTTTCTATCGTTTAATTATAACTTTGCTATTTTTATTTTAGTTGTTATTACTATTATTACTATAATTTTATATTTTTCTCCTTATCCTCTACTGTAATTGCTACATAGCTCCTATAAAAACGTTTTGTTATCATTATTATGTATTAATTATTCCGTTTATCTATTTTTTTTTGTTTGTTGTTGTCGTTTTTGAGTAAATTAGATGCAATACTGTACTGAATGCTGAAAATTCCTTGCTGTATCATTATTACTGTTTTTGGAATAAAGCAAAAATTATTATTATTATTATTACTATACACGTAGTTACGCTCCTGATCAGTAATAAATAACTGAATTCTTCCTGTATCTTTTTATGATATTTATATGCGCATTTTATTTGTGGCTATTTTATTCAACTTTAATCGACATGCTTATCCGTGTTTAACAAGAAAGATGTTTTTCCTTATTTCCCTGAACTTATGTATTTTTATGTCCATTTGCAGTTAAAGAGAAGTCTCCACAGAAAACGTTCATATTTTGAACTTAAAACATAATTTTTCCTATTTCGTTTTATTTGGTTAGAAGGACAGCTAAGATGAAAATTTCCACAGTTACTTCAGCATTCGATATAAAATCGAAGTATAAGAACCAATAAAACGAATGTGATTTCGAAATAGCTAAATCACATTTTTTCTGAATAAAATTTTTAAAAAAACAGAACGTCTTATGAATTTTTAGAAAAAAATTCAGTCTTCTGTAATAGTGAAGTGTTCAGTAAAGTGAGTATGAAATAATATATATACCTTGATTCTGGATTAATTTCACTATGTGAACCAATGTGTTCCTTATCCAAATTCCTATCTCTCTCTGATTCTTGATGAACTGTTTGTTGATGCTGTAAATAAAATAAAATAAAAATAGAGATATTTAGTAAGAGATCCTCGCAAAATATAATCTGTAAATGTTGATCATCCATTGTTAAATAACAATCTCTGACTATGAATAACCTTATACGCTGTTCTGTAAGTAGAACTATTCTACTCATTTGATACTTGAGCATTTACATTTGACAAGTAAAATCTTCTTTCAGGATTTCATCATGAACTGACATCGGTTAGAGGATCATTGGAAAACCTGCAGGGAGTACTGGACAGCTGTTTCGTCCTAGTTTGGGACTTTTCATCAGCAAACACCTACTGGGGTTCGAACCCAGGAGATTCTAGGGCTCACCAGTGACTGGCTCTATTCAGTTAGGTATTTACCTGGGTTCTAGTGGGAAGTCGTGACCAGTGAGGTACAGTAGGTTGGTTGTGGGGTCAAATACTCACCGATGACATTCGTTAGCGGTCACGCTATATCATGAATTAGCAAAAGCTGGAATTCATGAACCACTGAACCAGGTCCCAGTGGCTCAATGGTCTACGAGCTCGCCTTGTAATCAGAAAGTCGCAGGTGCGTACTGTGATGAGTCACAAACTAGGACGAAACAGCTGTACAGTACCACCAGGTTTTCTAATGGTCCTCAAACCGATGTCAATTCATTATGAAATCCCGAAATCAATCAAATCTCTACAAGCCACCACGTGAATAAAATCTTGTTGAATATTGTTCATAGTAAATGAAAGTTTATAAGGACTGGAAAAGATAACAAGTGGTGCGATTCGATCAAATGATCGAATAATCTAATCATAGGAAATGAAGTGTTTGCAGTACATTTCAGAAGGCTGAAGATAATCACTGACATAAAATATAATACTAAAACATTAAAACTCTCCTTGTCTTATCCAATTTGTTGTGCTGATTCTCCAACGCACTTGTCAGAAATTGGATTTTTCACCCATTGGCTGATCAATGATGAGGCAGTCGAAAAATTCTATTGTCTCCACGGTTAGTGGCTTCAGACGCCTAAGGTAACTCCAATAACGAAGAGACATAAATTTCTTGGGTTGCTTGAATTCCAACCGTTCTTTAGTCGATCTTGTTTCGCAATAGTATTCATCTTAGAATATCTTAACTATCAAACTGAATTCAGGCTTCTCAAATTCTCAGAAACACTTTCTCGGTTAAATAATCAGACGTACATCTTTTATGTTACAAGCCAATAAAAAAACCCGTCTCTTCTCCACCCCGATTCTTTTCTTTTGAATGTTTAGAAAATTCTAGATTTTTCAGATATTTTGTATTGATTTTCTACTTCTCAACTGTCCAAGTAGTAGGTGTTCGGATGAACTGACCAACAGGAACTCCTTGATCTAAGATTTGTACATCTAGACAATCAACACACAGATGCTAAAATCAGGGACTTTATCATCAGGCTATTCTGATCACGACTGATCTCATGTAGGATTGATTGATGTGTACAGATTGGTTGCCAGACGATAACAAATGTAAGTGTTTTGACCTAAGTGTTGATCGTAATCTGTCAATAATTTTTACAATTTGGTCAAAATACTGTGTGACACAACAATGCTACATATTGTGAGACAATATAGTTTGAAAATGGACATTTGTGAAGAAGCACCCTTAAACAAGTAACAACAACAAAGCCTTTTTGAAATCATATATTGAGATACAGCGTGTTATCAGGAATTCCGATTTTTGTCAGTTTACATGAATAAATAAATTCCATATGCGTAATGTGGCTGGAAAAATTGAATTAACCTCTATTGGAATGATCGATAGACTAAGTTAGCCACACTGATATTAGCTTACTACTGGGATAACAAATGATTCGCTACAGTCATGTATACCGACGCCTTTCTCAAACTTCGACTGTGAGCAAAATATCAAATGACAGAAATGCTGGTGAAATCTGTCTGTGGTACGGAAAAAGTATCATAATTAATGGAATCATCACAATATTTAAATAAAAATATAAAACAATGGATCATCTCAGAATGATATCAATGTCACTAGACAGATAATAACTTCTTACTGATTCCTCTGGGAATGCCAATGAGGTATAATTTCAGAACCCCTTGTCTATTGGTTCCGAAAATGTGAGATTTGGAAGGTTTGAGGATGTGAAAATAGATTTTTACCAGGATATTGTAGTGTTACTCTAGGAAACACGACTTACAAATGCATAAAATAGGGAAACATTAGTTATGGATTATCTATCAATTGGTACAAAATACGCTATACACTCGTATAACCAAGCTGGTGAGACGCAATTCGATGTTGTTTCTAGTAGTCAGAACTGTGATGGGGCATTAGGCATATTTGAATTAGGAGATCATAAGTTCCGTTAGGACTGGCAATATATACTTTCAGTTGGAATATTGGCACGTGACCTCTCACATTTAATAAAAAGAGGCGTGTCTTAATTACTACTGTATTTTTCATCAACGTGATAATGTACTGCCAGGTTTCTACCGGAAAACTCTCTTTCTTCACTTCAGTCTCCTGTTAGAAAAGTAAAGAATAACTTGAAAGCAGTTTAACAGCTTACCATAATCTGATCTGCCTGTGTATTATTTTCAAAAGTGATAAACTGATCACTTTTGATTAACTCGTTCAGGTTGGTTAGTCCATCTGATTTGCCTGTAGTTAAAAAGTTTGGCAAGTCAGTGTTAAGCTTGGATAAAAACTCTTTTAAATCAACTGATTTCCATTCTTCGTAAATTGAATCAAACTGCTCACTGACCATCTGCAATTGAGCCATACGTCGACGAGATAATTCAAGACGTTGTGACCACTGGTCAAATTGAGGATTAGACAACGGAGCAGCATCACTTGTTTTCTGAACTTTTTTTACACCCATACAGCTTTCACCACTCATATCACTTGAAATTGAGAGATTGCATTCTTTAAAAGATGTAAGAAAAGTAAGAAAAGAGTCATTAGTGTGCCAGAATAAAATGTACTGAACTTTGAATATTCTTCATTTGTTTCCTCTTTTAGGTATCACTACGTAAACTGACTCGTAGGAAGAAAACCTGCTCATTTGTGTAATAGAGCTAGGAAAGTATTCACCAGATGTTAGCATTATGATTTGTTTGATAACTCAGAGATTTTTAGGATAATAGTGTAACAGATTAGCTTCAATAACGTCAGTTTTCACACTTTACAGATTTGTTAATAATACATTCCTTAGCTAGTGAATTAAACAATAAAATGGAAAGTATTCGTGAAGTGTTCACACAAAGTGATTAAATAAGTGAAAAAAATTAACACTAGACTGAATTAACTACATATAAACTGACTCATACTTAAAGAAATATTATCAAATAGTGTAAGAAAACATGAAAATTGAATCCAAAACAAATACGTTCTATACAAAAGGGAACCCAGAAAGGGTTTCATAGATTTTATAGATAGATTTGTTCTCTGAGTTGAAGTTTCAACTGCAAAAAGGTTCTGTATCGTGGTAGGTATTGTCATCATTTCTCCACGAAGAAGTAAAGTGAATTGAACGGGGTATGGATACTCAAAACTAGGTAATCATAAACTAACCTTCTTTGCACCACTAAATAAACCATTTCCCCACCCTTACAGCATCAAACTTTATTGTTATTGTATTTCTTATATTATAATCCTCTCAATTTTTTGTTTTGTTATTTTTTTAAATGGACATAATTTAAGCTGTGTTATAACTGTTAATTTTGTATTTCCCTTCACTATACTATATCAACAGAACATTAGATTCAATAATCTATAACATGCTAAAGTTTCCAAACTGAATCGACAATACTGTTTGAAACAAACTCACTGTTATTATTACTATTATATTTAATAATCTCAATTCGTGCTTCGAATATTTTTGACTTTATATCGTAAATGTGGACAAATTCCTCCGGTTAATTTTGTTTTAATTTTTAATTTAATTTATATTTTGAGTAAATCAGATGCAATATTGTGACAAATACTGAGAATTCCATTCTGTATTATAAGTTTTTGGAATAAAGTAGATTATAATTATTATTACCTTGTTTTAGTATGATATAACTGAACTTTTCGGGAGTAAGTGGTTGTAATCTGAATTTGATTATTAAGTAAGACCAGATGATATAGCGGTTAGGACGCTCGCCGAAAATGCACATGGTTTTGGGTTCGATCCCCGGCCGACTCACTCCTTTACCTCGCTGAGCCAGAAATAATGCTGTTAAAGAGGAAAGGTTGGGCATGAGGCTAGCAACACCATCCTGTAAAATAAACACTGCTACAGAAACTTCAAGCCACTATCTTGAAGCTCTATGTTCCACTGGGGAACGTGAAGGAAAAAAAAGACCAGGGTAGTCAGATCACGATAAACCTCATCAGTCTATTCAAAGAAGACAGTCTAACCAATTAAAATAAACACTTTCAAGTAAAGGAGATAAGCCTTAAACTTGACTGAATACCTCTTTGAGGAAGTCGAAGGCCAAGTGTCACCAAGTCACCTTTAGAATATATCCATATTTCCTCTAAACCTCTAGTCAAACTAGAGTCAGGTAGACTGTCTTCGTACAGTGAGTTTATTTTGATATAAGGATAAAACCTGGGCACTGTGGTAGAGTGTAACTCCATTATGGATAAGATTTTATTTTGATAAAATCACAGTGTCATGCAGTAATATTTACTGATGACGTTTCGAGCGCAAATTATTGCTCATAATCATATCAAGTCACTCACACAACACTGTGTGTAATTTTATCAAAATAAAATTTGATTCATAATGGAGTTTATTTTGATTTGTGTGAGCTGCTGATACGCTTGTGGCGATATCTGCCATGACACTGGAATGCCTCTCAACAAAAATGTTACTTCGAAAAACACCTAAACCCGAATACAAAGCTAATTTGGGAATATTTTTATATTAAAAGTGTTATTTAGTATTGATCCTTTATTTATCGTGCAAACATATACATATGGGCTACACTATTTGACGAAATAGAACTGTCACAACTGAAAAAGAAGCAAGCCAACTTTGTTAAAAATTAATTATGTTGAAAGGATTCAACTCTTTACTATCCAAAAAGAATTCAGCGTCACTTCTTAACTATGTATTATATCCACTTGAAAATAGTAATAATAATGCATTGGTTCTTAGATGAATTTTATTACAAGTATTTTTGACTATTCTTTTCAAATCAATAATCTATTATACTTCTATTATACCTAAACTGAAGTGCTGTGTAAATTCAAATTAATTTACCATTATTCAGTATGTGTACTTAATGTGTAATAAAAAATAGAAACAGTAACTACAAAACACTTATAGAGTATAGTTAGGACGGACTAGCTATCTTTGTTGGCTGTGAAGTTATGATTGATGCATGCGCTGACATAATAACCTGACTGGACAGTTTTTAATTGGTTTATTTAGGAGGATCTTCAAGGTCATAGAATCAGTCAGACATTGATTATTACATATGGTTTAAATTTCCATTGATTTGTAAACTATGGATTTGTGAATAATGAAGGTTGTTGTTGTCGCAATTAAGTCTGACTTTCGTGTCTAACTCAGTGTGGGGAATATTTCCATGTGATTATAGTGTCGTGTCCGGAGGCCAATTCTAGTCAGGACATACAATAGCCAAAAAATCACCGATTATTATTCCCTTGAATTCCAAGTGGAACATAGGACTTCAACAACATATCTCTACTTTCTTCTGTTTTCTGCCATCCTCTTCATCTGGGTCCATGATTGTCCATAATCTCTCACCTCCTCCTCGCACGATTCTATCCATGTCACCCTCGCACTGATGACCCACTCGTTGCTTCCCATTCGGTTAACTTGCATTTAACAGATAGTTTATGATTTTTTTCGTACACCAGACGGTGAAACATAATGATAAAGCTCAGTGGTTGAAACAACTACTATGTTATGTAACTTAGTAGCCACTTACATTTCCATGTAGTTGGCGATGAGCCACACCTATTGTGTGAGGAAGAGTACTTAACGGCCGCTCAAGATTTGGTAGGTGGAGTGGGGTTCGGAACTGTGAATTAGAAGCTGGAAATCAAAAGCTTAGACTGATACGACACAGCTCCCTTTCGTGGAATTCAGTTTAGTAAGCAAATAAAAGGGTGTTTAGCAATTAAGCAGTCAGATTAAGGCACAGAGTTTCTTACAGGTGGTTAAAGTAATGTTAGAAAACAAATTTTCAAATAATAGTTTCCCTGGTTGACGAAAAACATTAGTTTAGTTGAGGAAAATGTATAACGCACAATGAGGTCCAACTATATATATTTTGATCCTATTTTCATCACTTATAAATTAAATTAACTATTTTTATGCTTAATCCATGCACTTTTTCAACTTTACTTTTCAAGTGATGTCGCTATTCATTCTACTATATAGAAATACTACATAGTTCTATTAAGTGTAGTGACATCAAAATTTCTTAAGGCTACAAAATACACATCAGACCTCGTTTTGGCGAGTGAGCAATAGTGACAATATTCCAAATTTACTGGTCATTCTCAACGAAACTGTAACTGTCATATACTAAATGAATTTACTCTGATATTTTACAGTGTGGGTCGGTGGCATAGCGGTTAGGACGCTCGCCGTCCATGCACATGGTCCAGAGTTCGATCCCCGACCGACGCACTCATTTACCTCGCTAACCCAGAAATAATGTTGGTGAAGAGGAAAGGTTGGGCATAGGGCTAGCAACCCCATCCTATAAAATAAACACTGCTACAGAAACTTCAAGCCACTAGCTTGAGGCCCTATGTTCCACTGGGGAACGTGAAGGAAAAAAAATTTTATAGTGTAGGGATTTTTAAAATCACCATATATGCAACTTTATGGTGCAACTTTGTTCAGCGAAGAAATATTTCTTTTCAACGACTTCATTTTCAAGCTGTACAGTCGTATTTACATTACGGTAAAAGGCATTCAGTGGCACTAGAAATTGTTCAGTCAATATACATATGATAAGAATAAAGATAATTAAAATGATGTATTAAGGGGGGGGGGGATGTAGAGTTGAAGTAGATGAATTTCAAAACTTTTAAAGATTATCAAATGAGTGAATTGTTGTTAAGATTTAAAAATACTGGGTCAATTGTTGCCTTAAAATTTAATAGTACGATGATGATAACATTAAAAACACGGCGAAGGTGAAGTCAAGTGGAATGAATTCAAGTGGTAAAACAGAATAAAATAAAAGAACATTACAATGACCTAGGTAAAGAAAAGGGTTTAACAAAACGTTTTTGAACACACAATTTAGGTTTTTGTCCATGTTTAGCTAGATCTTCAGCTGTGTATGAGTGGATAAAACGTAAGCTCTTGGAATGGTTGTGTTTGATCCTGTAAATAACTTTGAAGGATAAATCCTGTGGGGCTGAATGACCTGACTCCAGAAGGTGTTCACAAATTGAAAACTTTGTCGTCCTTTGCTCACTTTTTATCAACCAAACCGGGTAGTGTTCGGCTACGCGTTTACAGAGAACACGCTTACAACGTCCAATGTAATCTCTAAAAGTTTTGTAATTCACCTGCCTCTGCTTCACCCCTTGATACATCATTTTAATTATCTTTATTCTTATCATATGTATATTGACTGTACAATTTCTAGTGCCATTGAATGCCTTTTACCGTAATGTAAATACGACTGTACAGCTTGAAAATGAAGTCGTTGAAAAGAAATATTTATTTGCTGAACAAAACTGTTTTTCTTCATATGGGTATTTATATAACGTTGGCCCGAGCCAAACAGATGTATGTTCCTTTCTTATACGTAATAATCTCTGTGGCGTATCTGCAGAACTGAAGAAAGCTCACGTTCGCTCAGACTAACATTATCTAGTGCTGAAGTCATTTAAATTGGCCACCAAATTATTTAAATTATATCGGTGCAAGTATTATTAAT